ACCGCCAAATACTAAGCGCAAAACAAAACCCGAACCTTAATAAGCTACACTAGCTAACAATTGCTCATTTTTACGATCTTCCTCTTTTTAACAACCGTAGGTGAACTTCCGCAACAATGGCCCTCGAAACTTCAATTAACTCACAGTAGCGCAAAGTAGAACGAGATTAAAAAGAAAAAAAAAGAACCGGGCCGCAAGCTTAATTAATCGAGGTATGTACAGGCACTCATACATTGAAGCTTTCAAGTTTCGGGATCGACATGGAGTCCCATTATCTCTCAATTTACAGCGATGCCTGTCGTTGAATTGATTGAATTATTCGTCCTTGAAGTTATAGCCTTCAAGTTCTCCTCTTGCTCTCTTGGCGAACTAATATCACCTTATAGTGAAAAGACTAAGTTTCTATGTTGGCGTGAGAGTATAAGCCGATTGACGAGATAGAGAGGACGCGAAATATATTAATCCGATGAGACTGCTTTCAATGATAGCTTTGTATCTTTTTACCCTCCTCGATGCGCATTCAACCGCGGAGCTCTATTCACAGCAAGTAATCGAGCTTCGGGCGTATTATCAACCACACATAAAACGACGGATATCCTAGGTGATTTATGGGAAGATTAAAGACTTTGAAAGACACTAATAAAAATGAATTTCGCGTAATGTATTAACTTTAACGTTAATATCTTTGCTAAACAGCTGATCAATTTTGTTTATGTAACGTTACTGGATAAAACATACATTGATTTTCGAAAGCTCATTCCAAATGGAAGTTATATTAACGACAATGCAAATAGTAAACGGCAATTATCAAGTCATAGATTAATCAATCAACTAATTAGTATAATTTTCCTGGAGTGTAGGACTATATTAACGAGGTATCCGATTCAATAAAACTGATTGATATTTCATCAAAATGACGTTTAGAAATCAAAGATCAAGTTTCAGAATATCAAACTAATTGCGAAAGATGATCTATAACAGACTCATAATATTCTACCACGCATTTATAATCCTAACAATTCATAACTTGGCTCTTCGGGACAAGGCAGCAATTACTATAATGAGACTATTGACACACACAGTATGGAGATGTCACACGCCATAAACCAGAGTCGAGTGAAGCAAACGCATGAAAACAGCGCACAGCGGCAAACTCTTGATACGTCAAAAGCGCCGTGCAATTTATCAAGAGAACCTTGCAGGATATCAGATTAGTCGATAGGATAATTCCAAATGCAATTTCGACGAGGGCGCACACACTGCGTGCAGTGTATGATCTATTTCACCCAGGGAGATAGAGATTACGCGACGAGAAACTGAGTGACTGACAACGACAATACGCGGAGATGCGTCGATATTGGAAGAATGGATGGATGATAACAAGACTTGAATACGGTGATGGATCGACTAGTGTTTGTCCAAAGTGATTTGTCGTTATTAACAAGGTTAAAATGCTCGAAGTCTCATATAAATGAATAATTATTGAAAACAATACATTTTAGCATTGTTGGTTGTTAATATGTAAATCCAAACAAAGCATGTACATCCTGAGATTATAAGACTTAAACATCTAACCACGAGTAGTAAGCTCGAAGTTAGCTATATATACATATAATGAAAATGCTTTGTCGAGGAGGAAATCGAACGACTACGGCAGTAGACAGCTCGGAGAACCTCTCTCGTGCGAATTGGCAGACGTGCGAGCGAATTAATTAGCGCGTACGTCTCTCAAGAGGAATCAAGACGAACCTTTCGACGACGTTTACGAGGTTGTAAAGCTCCCGCCAAAGACTGCCAAGGCTTTATTTACTTGCTTTCTCTCTCACTCTTCGGTTAATGCTCGTGGTTGTGGCTGCCGCTACGTCTGCTTATCGATCGTTACGCGGTTGGATGGGTTTTGATTTGTTCGCGATGCAATACTTACGGTAAGGCTAATAATTCATAGATCAATAAGCTACGATAAATATCCGCTGAAATGTCAACTGTACCCTTCAACGGAATTTAAATAAATTTCTCACCCGTCAGTATTAAAAAAATAAAGTGCACACACCGCGTAACTTCCGTGCGAAAAGCAAACGCATGGCGTAGTATAAATCAAGCCGATAGAGGCTGGAGAGTGAGAGACTCATAACCCCATCGAAAAACAAATGATACTCTCTCTCTCCCCTAGCACACGCACTCTCTCGTATATACGTTCCATTAGCCAGTCGGCGGCTGCTGTAGATTACAAGTCGTGCGCGTACAGGTATATGCGGCTCAGCCAACGTTAAGCTCTTTCTCATGCGTCTCATTCAGCTTGATGCAGCTTTCATCGATCAGCTTTGCCGCCACCTCGTCATGTGCTGCTGCTATGCGTACGTACATACCGAAATCACGTATATGTAATGCTAGAATTTCGCATTATGAAAAAGCGTTGGAATATGGTTTTTTTTGTAACGATACGTAAATGTCGATGTTTTTACATTCTGTATGATTTTTTTAATTGAATCTTGTCTGTAAAAAATGATTTCGAACCTTTCGACAACTTTTACGAAATTAGATTAAAGATAATAATTTTGGATAGCTCAATCAAGTTATTTTTATTTTACCTAGTCTCGGAACCATGTTTTGGAAAAAAAATCATCTGTACAAATATAAAAAAATCGTTATTTTTGAAGTGAAATGGATTATGGTGGCATTTCATTTGTCAACGATGAAAAAGTGAAGAAAGAATACAGGGAACATCAAAGCTCCATTAACTTCAACTCAGAACTAAGCTCATAAAGTAAGCTTTGGCTTTTGTACACCTGGCTCCAATCTTGCGTTTTGCATAATTTGTGCATCAGGTGAAAGTGTCAGTTGTTCTCAAAGGTATGCTGTGAAGAATACGTACGATTGAAATATTGTTTGAGGTCCCCTTAATCCGATGATGTTTATAATTATACACAATGATTGACCTAAATGTTACAAAGTGGTGAAAAATGTCCTGAATGTAATATTTGAAGGATAGACATGTTTGGACATTCAACATAGATAATATGTTTAGAAAGCGGATGTGCATATTTGCTCTTGTCGATAGCGATACCAACACTCCGAATTAAGAACGGATAATTACTCAATACTCAATTAGTAGCTCGTACAATATATGAATAAATCTGCTGGCTAAAAGAAAACCATCATTTAGAATGAGCTCTTTTTCATTTGCCTTGATGACACTATTGACTTTTATCACATTAAGTGGAATCTTTGAGTGCTGAAACAAATTCTTTTAATTATTACGCTGTAACTAATGCTAATTTATGAAAAAGCTCTTTATCATAACAAGTTGTACGTATTATTCGTGACAATGACTGATAAAAAACGTTTCGACATGGGAATGAATTCCATATGCGATATCAGTATCCGTAATGACGCTCCGGAAATAACGAACGTTTGGCTAGTAAATTCTTGGGTTTCGTACATGCATAGCTGTGCAACAAAGCTTGTGAAAATTTCTGAAAAAGAATGACGTATTCCTCATAAATAAATCTGCGATTGTAGGTGATTCTCTATTAGGTGTATAAACCCAATGTATATCATAATAGTGACACACTTAACACTGTAATGTGTGTTGAAAGTTAAATTTTTTTATTTTAACAACCCATTGATTCTGCTCAAAGTTTACTTTATCCAAATGTATATTCAACTGAAAAAAAAAAATTCAAATTTAATGTGTAAAAAGTTATAGGCAAGTAATACTGAATTTTGAAATGTGGTATGCGGAAGTTTAAAGCGTAAAAATATAAGTTAAGTTCGAAAAATAAGATTATAACAGTGGTCACGATTATCTGATACCATTCATTTTACAAACGTGATTTATCTTTATTCATAGGAACAATCGTTTCCATTTTCTAGCCATCGAATTCGAAGAAACGCTATGATTATATTACAACAAAAATATAGGACATATTCCCTTACGTTAGTGAAACAACCGAAATCTCCGGTTTTCCCGTGACAAAAAGAAAATCATTATTATGCGCAACGCATTCAGCAAAGCTCGATTCTTCACTTTCGCCATTTCTTTTTTGTCAGAAAGAAACTCACGCGCGTACGCGTCTAGACCGTCTCACTCGTCACGTCGTCGCAAGCTTTCCTTCTGTCTGAAGGGTTGAGCGCGTGCGTCGAGGCGATTAAATTAAACTCGACGCGAGTTTCCTTGCATACTCAAACGGCTTTCGTAAGGTGGCGTACGCAGAATTAAATATGTTAAGCGTTGATCAAATATTCCCGAGACAATTTCTCGCGCGATAAAAAAAAAAAGAGGAAAGTTTCACTTAACGATGAGTTTTCTAACTGAATGCGAAAGTGGTTTACGAAGTCATAATTTCTTCTTTCAATTTTCACAAGGGTATATCCATAAATCTATGTGGTGCAGTAAATTAATGCCTCTTTTATATATGCATTGGCTAAACATCGGTTGGGCAAGTATTTAGTCAGCAAAAGTAATTGAAGCCACATAATGAACGAATAAATCTGTCGGCGTGTCAGAAGCAAATGTAGGCAAAGCCAAGCGCCCATGGCTAATGGCTAAACTTGGGGTTCTACGTCTACCGTTTCCACTTCCTCTCTTTTGCGTGCGATCAGGTCCCCAAATATATACCTATATAAAAGTGTGAGATACTCAGCGTTGGGCTGTAAAGTGCACGCGACGATATATTAGAATAACTTGAGAAAAATGGACGGCTGGTGACGTATATAGCTATCTCTTCTTTTCTTTCCCGACTCCCCCTTATAGCTCTTTTTGTGGCAGCTGCGGGATCGCTTGACAATTAAATTTTATTGTCATTCAATATTTTTTATGCTTACCATTGCTTTTAAATGTGCAGTTTTTGCGATTTTTTTCAGTCATTGTCGATAAAATAATTATTACACAAAAAATATTTTTAAGAACAAATTTTTGTATAAAAAACCGCCATTTTCTGTAATTAATTTACAGAAATTTCTTTTAGTTAAATATATCTCTCTTGTGCTTATTTTCTAATATGGTAAAATCGCTTCACCAGACCAGTCAAGAAAGTAGTTCGACTGGTCATACGACGACCTGTACCCTTGCAAAAATAAGTTCGTTTAATCATGTAAACATTGCTAGCGTTACCAAAGCCGAATATTATCCTTACTCATTAGTTTAAAGCGCGAACTATTGAGCGTAACGGTAGCTCTTTTATTATGTCGTATAGAAATTTCACTTGCGGAAGGTAAAATACAATCAGGTAAATAGGCATCTATTAGACGCTATTAGCACTAACATTATGATACAATAACGCGGGAACTTTCCAATTCGCTATTGTACGATAAAAAATTCACGATATACTAAAAAGTAAACTACCTACAGAATGGTTATCTCTGTTTTATTAAAGTCTTCATCAATATGCATTTAAATTATTACAATTTACAGTTTATCTCGACCGGTTTGTTAACTTTATCTCGTGTGCACATAAATGAGAAAGCATTCCTGTACTTGATAAAATAAGCTAATTGATCCCGCCATAAAAAAAAGCCCATATTCTAGTCTGCGAACGAGGCAAAGTTACACATCGTCGAAGCCATAAAAGTCGCGAATTTTTATGTCATGCTGCATCGGCTGTTCTGTTTCATAGCAATGTACAATGACAATAAACAGGAAACTCGTCGTCCTTGCGAAGTTGAAAAATATTTTCATGAGCCGAGTGAAGTATAAGGGTAGAAGCAGTCATAATGCATCGACCGAATGGTTGTTTTTATATTTGAAATAGGGGGATGCACTATGTCATAAATCTAGATGTAGATGTTTCATACGTTTTTCTTTCAGTTGAGCATCTGTCAAAGCTTGGTGATCGTAAACCTTGGTTTCTTTTTCAGATGTGTATATGATATAAATTGCACGCACTTGAAAGTCTCAGGTTTCACACAATTACGTTTGTTATTATTATAAACAAATAAAGAGCAACAAATTAAAAGTAAACCATATACATAATCAGGCATGAAATAATTTTAATCAGAGAATATATGCATGCAGGCTTATATACGAGTACATTTAATTTACGGATTACACGTTGATTAAAAAATCATAAATAATATTAACTTTTTTCCTGCATAATTCAAAGCAATGTTACTTAAGAGGATCCCTATTGGCTTATTTACGATCAAAAATTTGGCTCATTACATATATATGTCTTTCTAATAACAAAATATTGCAATTAAATTATACATGTGAAAATAATGCGTATGGAAAATTCACATACACGTATGGATTACACGCTTCTATTCACTATGCGCGTTCACTTTATAACATAAAATGCTATATTATTAAACTATCATTATGATAAATTATTACTTGATGACAAAGAAAGTACACTCCATAACATTAGGTATATGAATTTTTATTACACATAGAACACACATTAACTCACAGGAGAGTGAGTACTAATAACTACAAACATTAGTTTCAACAAAATTCTCACACATCGTAGATTTCTTTATTTAGATTACGATTTTATCAACAGAGTTAGAACAAAAAATTCCAAGTAACATACTAATTAACTAAATTGCATTTTCACATGTATAACTTTCCGTTGAAAGTATCATACTCTGGACATGAAATATAAAAACAAAACATAAAAACGAGTTTTTAATTTATTACTAGATATTTAATTAATGAAAAAACTCGTTTTTAAATTTGTTTTTATAATTTGTTTTTATAATATTTGCTACTTCTAGGTTATGATAAGTAAGTTCATTATTTTACATGAAATTTAAGTATATGTATTATTCAAAAGTGTTTATATTCGCACTACTATGATGTCATATTTCGCTATTTATCGCCGCCGTATCGTAAAAAATACATTATAAGCATAAAAATAAATAAGAATATAGTCTTTCAGTTTGTCATAAGCTTTCTCATGAGCATGTCACTTAAATAGATCGGATAAACTTACGAAAAAAGTGAACTACACTCACGAATACTTATTAATAAATAGTAATGTCTTCTTCAAATTGATGGAGACCATAAAGTGGATAGTATCCTCTGTGCATTTCAACGCGACCACCCTCGAAAACTATAACGTCTTTGTCTTTGAAATACATAATATCATTCTTTTTATCTTCAATCCAGTACCGGAAGACACGGGATAAATGCTTATCATCTAATATATCAAGGTTTGCTAGTCGAGCCAAATCATCGTGGTATGCTATTGTCTCTAAAGACATGTAGTGAGCTTTTTTTAGTTCTACTCCTGGTGGAAGCACTGAATCTTCCAACATTTCTTCCCGACTTGGTAGTTTGGTTTTACCTTGGAGTACGGAAACAAAATACTGCGACTGCAATCATCAATATTTAATTTTGTTTGTTTCATATTTTTTATAACGCTTTTGTAAACACATATTTTACCTGAACGTAAGCTACTGGGTATGGAATACTAGGGAACTGGAGTCCGAGAAAAGCCATTGTCGGATGTTCAACGCTGATGAGATGTTTGTAAAGAGGTCGCACGTATTTGCCTTCTACAACTTCAATTCCACTGTCATCACCCAGGAAGGGAAAATCGTATTCATAACCCGTGCATAAAACGAATGCATCGGCAATTATAACTTGGTCATCGCTGAGAGTCAACTCATTACCATTAACAGATACTACAGCAGGTACTTCTTCCATATTTGGCGGTAACTCAGACCCTAGTCTACAAATATTTCAAAAACTTAGCTACTTACTTAACAATCATAATATTATGAAGTTGACATGGTATCCATCAAAATCTGCATGCGTTATTTTCAATAATAGTGGTATAGATTGTGCAATAACCATCATAGATCCTTTGACGCCATCTTTATTTACATGAGACAACGTTTCGTAGATGTGGGTTATAAGGTTACATATACATTGTTAATATAGTTCAAAAATTTAGCGATTACGTGTTAATTTTTTGAACGACATTATTAAAATATATGTTTGATTAAATTATTGAACTATTTATGTACAAACGATGTATAGTCTGTAACTATTGATAATAATTGTTGACAAAGATTTACTTACGTTTGTCTGTGGCTGAGATAAACTTTTTTAGCGAACCAACTAACTTGCAGTCCTATGTCCGTGCCTGACGAACCGGCTCCCATTATCACGACAGTTTTTCCAGTAAATTGTTGCGGTTCACGATAAAAAATACTATGGAATATCTCACCAGGAAAAGTCTCCATGCCTGGAATATCCGGTACGTAATATTTCGAATAGTGCCTGTAATATACATTTTATTATGATTATAAATACAAAATTTTATTTTCAAATTAAATGAATCTTCTTACCCATTGCATACCATGACAGCATCGCATATTATTTCGGAGTATTCATTTGTTTTTAAGTTTTGTGTCCTGATGTTCCATTGAGTATCAGGTACGTCATTCACCGCACTAACCTTTTCCACAATAGTATTGAACTGTGAAAAACAAATATGTAAAAAACATAATCTAAAATTCATTACTATCATTTTCATAAATAATTTTATACCTGAATATATTGTCGAAGATTGAAACGATCGGTGTAATTCTGTATGTATCGTAACATATCCATGTGAGTGACGTAGCTTCGATTTTCTCCATGAAATTCAACATAATCAGAAAAAACCATCAAATCTTTTGGGCCATTTGTCCTATAATATCACAATATTTTCAATTTCTCTTCTGATAAATTGATAATAATTTATAAAATTGAAACATTCTTCGTGAGATAATCTTCATATGATTCATGAAAACATGAAAATATAGGTAAGTAAAATACGTTTTTATTATAAAATCTTTATTTTTTATCAATAATAACATATATATATTTTAAGATTTTACGGAATAACTTTTAAATTCTAAATTCTACAAAAATTTATACTATTTCTCAATAATAAAAAACTTTTAAGGCATCAATTATTGTATACGAAACATAAATATTTAGACGTAATTTTAAATTAAAATAAACATCTAAATTTTGCATGAAGTCTAGGTAAATATTCATTTTACAAGTAAAGAATAATCGAATACTGTAATCTTTGTAAGATCTTTGAAAAAAATTCCAATAGTTAATAAAATTATTTAACATATAACAATAAAATGGTATTAAATTAGTTTGCAATGGAACATTAGTTGTTTCATTTTTATTCATATTCGTAGATTTTAAGTAATTTTTAAGAAATCTTAATTGCCTGGAAATAAGCTTAAAGAGAATTTTTTCAATTTTATCTCGATAACTTTTTTTATTTAATGAAAATTGAAGCCACATTAATATAGCATTGAGTAAACGAGAACGAAAACGTTTATGCAGTAGATGGATGATTTTTATGAAATTTGAAACTATAATTGAACAAATCGAGCGAATGATATCATCAAAATAATAGTTTTTGTGTAGATGATGGAAACATATTATTACTTCAATAATTTTAGATTTAATTTGAACGAGCCTGTTTTTTATAGGAAGTATGTAACTTTTATAATGTAGACATAGTTTATCGAAAATTACAAAATTGAATAATTTACTTAAAATTCGAAGTATATAATACCGTTTATAAAAGCTATCGCGGTAGTAGCTGTTTTCGCATATCAAATTAGATTTTGGTATCTTATCTTTAAATGATAAATTAAAAAGTTTCATGAATAGAGTTCCAATGATTGACACACAGATTTCGATAAATAATATAGTTCCTCGAAACCAAGAATCTGAAATATTATTGGATTTGTAAGTATCTTTAAAATTAACCAAATTATTGTTAATTGTGCATTGGTAATCAGCTTCGTGTTGATTTATTTCGGATTTTGATTTTTCGTAAGCAGTTATTAATTTTTGTGCAAACCGTGCGACTATATCAACAATTTTGTGCTCATTAAGATTTTTGGCGTCAAACACTGGAATCAGTGGTTTTCTAATTTCGGCAACATTGATGAGTTTTAAAAATCGTGATATTTCTTCAGTTGATTTTTCAGCCTTGTCAGCACATGTTATGTAAATTCTACTAGATACGTTTTTACATGTAGCTTTTTGATGACTAAATAACCTATAATAATATTTAACTAATTTGAATTTCAATGCTTCCAACTGAATAGAAAAAACTATAAATATTTTGATAAAATATTAATATATTGATAAAATAATGAATTAAAAAGATTACTATAATAAATTGACTGATATTTATAGCTACTTTCGATGGATATATTACTAACATTGAAAGAATTTACAATTGAAATGATGACGAATAGAATATTAAAGACTATGTTCTCAAGCTACTAGAAAACTACGATGGAAGGACGTGAAAAATTGTTTTGTAAGTAGAATTTTGGTTAATCAAATCATGCATAAAACATGATACTAAAGAAAAATCGACGAGAAAAAAGGAAATTGAAAAACGTGAAGGCGGAACGACATATAATTATAGAGTATTAGATTAAAATTCAATTTACCAATGTACATATCTGTCTTGTAATATTAATAACTTGTAAACTCAAGAATTTAGATTAATTTGATAATTTTTTTAAATGGAAGTTAAAGTCAGAACCTTTCAACACAAAATTAAATTTTTGACAATAGTCAAACTACCAAAGTTAAATTATAACTAAACGTTTGTAAAGAATTGGATCATTTACCAAAAATAAGAATTTAATCGAGATTTCATTTCTTTTTATCATGAAAATTCTACATAGATTATTTTATAAGCTATTCGTAAGATTTTCCAAAAGTACTGTAACATTGTCGACTAAACACAATATTCTTCTTCTGAGATTTTTATCTTTGTTGAACTTATTAGAAAGAATTTTTATTGTTTGTTACATTCATTTATAAGAAATAGATAGGCTTAACACCCAAGTGGATAATTCATTGATTTCGAAAGGAAATTGAATACAAGAAGTTGAACTTTGTTTAAACAATCGGGCATATAATTAAAAGTATAACACGATAAGAAATAGCTTATTACCTTAGATATCTGTATACGTTGCTCCGAATAGGTATGCCATACTCATCAACGCCAGTATCCTCTTTGTAAATCCATAATCCACCCACATCAGACCTCCTTTCAAATGCTACTGTCTCGAAGTCTTCGGGGTGCAACGAAACCTGTCTCACAGCGGCAATACCAGCAACCCCTGTGCCGATAATGCAAACTCGTTTTTTCTCTGCAGTAGCTCCACCGTAAGTGGCGAGTATTAAATATGACAGTAACCATAACGTCTTCCACCTATTGTATAATGTTTTATCATTAATTTACTGCAATAATACGTATAAATTTGATAAGTTATAAAAATAGGAATACTCACTTTGTATTCATTATAAGTCGTGCTCGCTTGAATGTATTTTATCGATAGACTGATCTAGTGAAAAAATAAAATATTTTAGAAATTACTATTCTATTAAATTTCTACACTGCGATAAATAAAATTCAAACTAGTAATTCCGCTTACTTATTATCTTGTAAGTTTAATGGCAACGGAAAATAATGAAATCTAAAATTACATCTACACCCAGCCTCCGATAGGGATGGGTTTTCTATCTTCAAAAATATAGCACTACGAAACCGTGGTTTAATTAGTAGGTACGACTCACGCACTCAGATGCAATACCAGACCCGCATACACGACGCAACACTATCACTCTATTCACCACTGATTTGATGTATTTTTGAAATGAAATGAATAGGCGATCATCGACAGTGAAGAAGTTTTCACAAAGGTGACTGACGTGAGACTATCGTAGGCATAATAACGGTGTGTAGCAGCGACGCGGCTACTTATGCCAACCTTTTATTAGCGGTGTTGAAGGACACTCCGAGCGATTGATAAATAACGCTCTCTCTCTCTTCCCCCCTACCCTCTCTACCTATATTCTACAACTTGGGCATTAAACTTGTATTGGCACATTTGCATAAATGTGTGTACACTCGATCTTTGATTCTGACGTCCTCGCGATCGATTGTTTCATCGAACTTGATCAACTGACAATTTATAGATGCTTACGTAGATACTAAAGCTTGAAATCAGTCAGCAACCAATAGAACACCCATTACTTTTTTCTGAAAAAGCCAAATTAAAATTTCTCACGACAATTTGTATGTCAACTTGCGTATAGGTTTTTTCATCTCTGCAAGAATGTTCCATTTTGTTGTACTTTTTATAATAAACAATAAATTTTGAAAGTTAAAGATACCATCTTCGCACGAAACTTCCATATTTTGTTAAACACTCATTTAATTAAACACAAATTAAATCAAATTTTGCGTATGTAATACATATTAATTCTTACTGTTTTAAGAAAATTTTAATAACTTCTTAAAATATAATCGGTCAGTAATGACTGTTAGGAAATTTATGTTCAAATTTTTAGTATAATGAAAAAAGTTAGGAAAACCATTACAATTTAACAAAATTGTATTTGAAATTCAATCTCAATGAATAAAGTTCATTCGAATTAATAACACGTAATATTCTTCTTCTTTCAAACTGAATTTAGTTTTCTTCGAATCTTTTATTTCCCAAACGCTCCGGCACACCTTTAAGGATTCTGAAAGAACTTCCTTAAATGCAATTGTTATGGAATTATAAAGTATCAGTTTCACATTAACTCTTGAATATCAGAAAAACTTTAATCGGCAATTATTTTTGCAGTGAGATATAAAAATAATACACTGCTATTTTTTAATAAAAAAATTCATTCAAGATCTTGCATTCTATTTTCTGTTAACCCACATATTATAATCAATCGAAAAATTTCACTTCAGTTGGCACAAATCGTTTGAAAAATGTAAAATACAACATAGACCAATATCCTACATCCATTTAAAAATATTTTTGATATATACAATTGATTAAACAAACCGAATTCGGAATTATTATTGTAATCATCAATGCATAATACATGTTTGAAAATGGAATTATAAGAAACATGCTTATGGTATAAAATATGCCGATTTTACATGCCTTGCTGTATTGAAAATCTAGCATTATATCGGTCAAGTCAATAAACAGGAAGTCTTGATGCAAAGTTGAGACATTACCATAAGTTCAGCAGCTCATAGTGCAGTGAACAAACGGCTTTTTTGCATTATAAATCAGAGTTTCTAACTAGTAACTGGCCATAATAATTATACAACTTTGTTCTATTAACCTAATTCATCCTAATTAACTTTCTGAAATATTTTATCTGAATTAATGAAAAATATGAATAATATATAATGTATACTAGTAGATTAACTGTCATAACCGTAAAGTAAAAAGAAAAATATAACTATCGAAGTAACGCGGCTGTCACCCTGAAAACTTCGGGCTATATAATTTCATATGCTTTCACATAATTGTTATGATAAATTTTATTTCCTTTAAAATGATAATTACATTTCTAGTTTCATTGACTTCAGATTCATGCTTTTATATTAATTTATTTGTTTGGATTACACATAATAATTTTCTTTAGTTTTGTAATTTTCTTCTTATTCGTTAAGATAAATCAACTATTGAAATTGTTAGAAAGCATTTTTGATGCACGTACAATTAAACGTTTATTTGTGTTTATTTTTATTTTTTAATTAAAAAATCCATTTAGCATGAAAACCAATCTTATTTTATTGCAATTCAATGGTCATCCGATAAAAATTATTGCAATTATAATTGTTTATTTTACTAGACGAAGAGTTTTTATTGACACTTTGTGGTCAAGGTTGATTGCATTTTCTATTATACATGCGCATTCCTGTTAAATTTCCATAATCATTATAATATCGACAAGGTTTTCAGTTTGATCAACTATTTTACATGTCAAAAGAATTTTCTTGGGTTTTGTCTAGTTTTTCCTCAGTAACTTGTTCGAGCAGTTGCAGTACCAGACGGAAGTTTAATACTCTATAAAATGTACTGTTCGTTCCTTAAAAAAATTTGTATATGCATTTTGTGCCCGTATTGAACATTAATTTAATTCATAATAAATCTAGGGATAAATCATTATAAAAATCAAGTATAAAAATTGAATTTGTAAACTGATGAGCTGATAAAATGTAAAAATCAATCATTTAAAATAATTAATTATTAAAGAAATGTAAGAATTGAAAAATAACATCCAGAAAATCATTGTATTGTGCATGGAAAAGCAATAAAACGAGAGAGAGAAAGAGAGAGGGAAAAAACGCAAATCGTTCGACCGAGAAAGAGTTGAGCCATGGCTGAGTACACAGGTAAATTGCGGCAAATTGCAATCGAGCGAGCGTAATAACGATAGCAAGCAGCAGCAGCAGCTTGTCCTCGTGCAGACCAGCTTGTTCGTCGAGGGTTAAGTGTGCGCAATCAACAGTCGAGCTTTATGAAGAACGTTTGCGGGGCTACACCAAGGAAATTAAAGTTTGCTGCTTAACGAAGTAAATTCCACGTCGCGTAAGAGAAATTTACTTAAGGCTTTTATTTGTTAATATACTGGCGATGGGATAGCGGATGTTTTTAATTGAATATTGTGAGCTTCAATTCAACTAAAAACAATTTTTTGTGCATTTCCAACAAGAATCGTCAAAAGAATCAGCAAGCTTTACTCATACCAATTAGGAATACCAAGGTGTATCTCGATTTCCATTGGTACTTATAACAAACAGATTTTTGTCTTCCTTACTACGTTCCCTTATCCATTTCAAATACATATTTTCAAAGCTCTGCTTAACATAAATACCAGAGGAAACCGAGACACATCTCAGTGTTATTGTTTGACATGTAGAAAGCTTATCAATTTTTTTGACGATTCTTGTTGGAAATAACGCACAAAAAATTGTTTTAACAAGAACGTAACTTTTATTCAATATTTGTAACAAAAAATAATCATACATACGTTTTATAAAGGTAACTTAATAAGTTCGTTTGTTCATTATAGTTTCAAGAAGGGTAATTTAAACACGTAATCGAAACATTTGCGGAATTAATAATAAAGATTTGCCTAGAAAGATTCAAAAGGGAAAGACTTAATCAATTATCTACAAAACTCCTTTTTCTAAAAATTGTAGTGAGCCACTTGGAATACAGCAACAAATATTATTAAAAAAAAACAGAAAACATGAACTTTCCATGCTTGCAATGTTTATTGACCTACTTACGCATCCATTTTTATGAAGTAACCGCAAATGTCAGTATATTGTTCTATATTTCACTTCATGTATACATATTACAAAATTATAATATATACATTTACCAACGTAGTGATATAAAACCTACAATAACATAGCTAAACAAGTCGAGCTAATTTTTCTTATGCGTACGTTATCCACATGCAATAACATAGTTTCATTTTCTCAAATAGTAGAAAGAGATTGGAGGGGGGTATTGTCCCGGAACAAAAGCAAGGAAGTGTAACAAGGGCAATGAATTGGCTTGCATTTCGATTCAATGAGCACTTGGAGTTTCCAGAGGAAACAAAAGATACATCGATATTATCGATGACAAAAGGCATGATATAATGTATATCTATTCGCACAATAGTTTCAACTCCATCCTTCCTTTAAAAGAACAAGAAGATACATTAACTCTGTTATCGAGGATTCGAGAAAATATTGAATGCATAAAGCCAACTTCGCTAATCAGTATCTCTTACAGTTCAGCGACTAACGCTCCGCATAGATATATACATATAACATCTTGTGAGGAATTCGGTCGTGTCCTATATCAAACCTTTGCGGTTCGCTGAGCGAGCTTTCAATTTACGATTTGATTCACGGATAAAGGCGTGCGATCCACGTTGTTGCAATATCTCGAGTTAACGTGAGTCTTACTGCAGTTGAATTGCTTAAAGATAGATAATCCTATTTTGTCACTGCATTAGGGATGACCTACTTAAACAGTGATAGTTACGCAAGTAGTTATAGTATCGCTATGGTATATATCGGAATCAAACATTTTACTTTGTAGCTCGTGTATTTTAGTTTAATTTTAATTAATTTAATATTTAATTAATTGATTAGAATGCACGATGGAAAAGAACAATCATACTGAATAAATGTGATTGTTTTAAGAGAAGTTTTTTCGGCAAAAAAAAATTAATTTTAAGATCCTTTTGGTACAAAATATTTATTTTGCAAGAGTGTTCTTTTTGTTATATACGTAAGCTATTTTGAAACCATAACAAACAGAAATTCTTTTTATGCCAATCTTCTATTACAAGAGCATTTTTCTCAAGTGTCCTTAAACAAAAATTTTCAGTAACATAAACACGAAATGAAAAAAAAGGCTTTTCTCCTCCTATAAGAAGAATGTGTCTTATTATAAAAATTGAGCCATTATTATTAGCACAAACATTTTAAATGAACAA